AGGCCAAGATGTTGTAGCCTCACACATGACTCTCCAGTCGAGCCATGAAGATCCAGGCCATCCTGCCAGGCACAGGCTCCAGCCACAGCCAACCAGCAGGCCCTTTCCAGACTTTGGGGAACAATAGGAAATTGTGCAAAAGTGCTGAAAAATAAAAACGCGTGTGTTGAGAGAAAAGGAGAAAAATAAAGCAGGAACAAGAAAGAAAAATGAGAAAGAATGATTGAAAAGGAAGGGAGGAAAAAAAGAGAAAACGAATCCAAGAAAAATGAGAGACAGAAAAGCAAAGAGAAAAAATAGTACAAGTGTCACATAGGAGAAAGGAAACAAAGGAAAAAATAAAAGAGTAAAAGGTAGGGAGTCAGAAAATAAATGATAAAGAGAAAAATCCAGAAAGAACATGTACAACCAAGATAAATGAAACTGAAATGGAAGGAAGGAAGGAAAGAAAAAAACACATATAAAAGGAAAAGAAAGATTCCAGACTAAAGATAGAAAATACACATGGAAGAAAAGAGGAAAGAGCACCTCACTTAGGCCATTTCTATGAGACTGAGAGAAATGAAGCGGCCGCAAGCAGTCCAGCTAGGCCCGCGCAGACCCCAGCTAGGACCGCGGAGCCCCGACCCTTCCACAGAAGGAAACGTCCCCGCTGCAAATAAATCCTTATTATTCATCACCACCGACCTGAGGGCCGCCATCATCGCCACCAGATAACACTGTTCTATTTAGAAGCACAGAGGCAGCGGACGCTCAATTACAAAAAAAAATAAAATGAAACGTAATTTAACAAATGCCCCTAAAGTGGAGCGGGTGGGCACCTCTCGCACCCTCCCTGTGGACGGGTCCCCAGCCCGGGCGGGGGCGGGAGCTGACACCCGGGTGCTAAATCCCCGAGGCTGGAACCCCTGGGGGGACGGCGGTCCCGCTCAAAGGCCGGGCTGTAAAGGTCACAGGCGGTCTGCGGGGCTGCGCTGAATGGGCTCCCGGAGGTAAACAGACTCTTAACTTTCAACTTGGCCTTGACCTTCCTGCAAGTGTCTGGCGGGTATGTAAAGGAGCATGCTGAGGCTTTCAGCGTGTTTGACTGGGTCTGTAAAAGGGGTTAGGGAGGCTCGGGGGCTCCTCCCGGTGGGTCTGGCCAGAGGCTCCCAGCAGGACACAAAGGCCTCTGTGGGGCTGGGGGAAGGGCAGGTCTAGGAGACCTGGGCGCCTGGGTTGTTCAGGGATTTGAGCACCAGGCAAGACTTGGAAGCTCTGAACCTCAGTTTTTTTATTGTGGGAACTCAGGCTTATGCAGTGTTGCACGTGAGAAGTGACCCGCACTCTCAGGCAACTGTTCTTTTCAAATAAAAACAGGTGGTTTCATCAGAAACAGATACACAAACCGAAACACAAATAAAAGTCATATTTATTCAGTTTATGAAATGGTTTCACGTGCAAAATCTTATTAAATTGTCACAGCATTCTTGTGAGGTAAGAATTATTATTGCCATTTAACAGATAAGGAGACTTAATCCTATTTTACCTGCCTCCAATTAAGATCCTAGACAGATCAAGTAAACATGCCCAGGCAGTAGGAGCGCACACTCACGTGCTAATACATGTGAGGCACAGAACTGATCCCTGGGACCTAAGAGATGCCAAGTAAATTATAAGCAAACCTGTAATATTATTTGCATTGACATATCTGTTCATAGGGGTCTCTAGCACAGCTAGTGAGCTTCTCTGGGGCAAAGTTTAAGTTGATCACCTCCGAATTCCACAACAACGCAGAGTTACATGTACGTAGCTGCTTATTTCCAGGGACCTGGGTATAAAACATGTTAAAATGCTCAGTTGCACGCAATGGTGTAATGATTCCAAGCACTGGGGATGGAACCCATTTCATGCCAGGCAGTCAGGCTCCAGTTTAGCTATGAATTTGTGTGTGTGTGTGTGTGTGTGTGTGTGTGTTACAGGGGTTTGAACTTGGGACTTTGTGCTTGCAAAGCTGACGATCTACCACTTGAGCCACGCTTCCAGTCTATTTTGTTCTGGTTATTTTGGAGATGGAGTCTTGAAAACTATTTGCCTGGGCTGGTCTTGAACCAGATCCTACAGATCTCTGCCTCCCAAGTAACAAGCACATGGCTCTGAGTTCAAACTCCAGTACCACAAAAATATTTTTTGTTTTTAATTATTTTGTCTTTCAAAAATTGAGAGCTAGCAGGCTGGCAGGAATGGCTCATGTGGTAAAGTGCCTGCCTAGCAAGTGTGAGGACCTGAGTTCAAACCTCAGGACTGCCAAAAAAAAAAAACCTGAGAGATAGCTAATGTAAAAAAAAAAAATCCAAGCATACACTATGGATGTGTTTTCCTAAAGTGAGCACACCTGCATAGCTGCCATCCAGATTGAGACAAAGAACATTTCCAGCACCCCAGAAGCTGTTTTTGTTTTCCCTCTCAGTCAAGAGCCCCTTCCTCAGGGTAATTTCTATTCTAATCTCTGTCACCATACACTAATTTTGCTGGTTTTTGAACTGTCAAGAAATGGAATCATACAAAATGACTCCTTTGTGGCTGGCTTCTTCACTTATGTATCAGTGTAAATCATCCACGTTGTGTACAGCAGTAGTTTGTCATTTTTTAATTCCTGTGTAGTGCTTCATTGTTTGATTCTAGCTTGATTTCTTCACGTATCCTGCTGTTGATGAACATTTGAGTTGCTTCTAGTTTTGAATTGTTGTGGATACAGACCTAGTACATGCCATCTCTGTTATCATATCCTCCCCCCTTCCTTGTTTTCCTTTTTAAAATATGGAACATTGTGAGAATTTGCATGTCACCCTTGTTCAGGGTCCCTGCTAACCTTCTCGGCATCATTCCAATTTTAGTATGGGTGCTATCAAAGCAAGCATTAGAATATGCCTTTTGATGGACATAAATTTTCATTTCTGTTGGGTTTATGGCCAGGAATGTTGGGTTTTAGAATGTTGGGTTTATGGTTATGTATTTTTTGTTTTGTTTTGTCTTATTTGCATTTATATTTTTTGGTGGTACTGGTATTTGAACTCAGGACCTCACACTTGCTAGGTAGGCACTCTACCACTTGAGCCACTCCACCAGTCCTATTTTTTTAAATCTAGGGATCTATCCATATCTGCACTTTATAGGCTTGAATAAGCACAGAAGTTCTACACCCCCACGTAAATGTATGTATATGTGTATGCTTGTCTTGTGGAAGCTAAAATTGTGGAAATTTCTATGAATCCATCATCTAACAAGTAAAAACCATTGAAAAGTTCTCAGTCTTTAGGGGGAAATCCGGGTATTTCTGTCTTTCAAGTAATTGCTTTATTTGGTAGTACTGGGATTTGAACTCAAAGCTTTGGGCTTGCAAGCCCGCTTGCTAGGTTTTATCACTTGAGCCACCTCTCCAGCCCTAGACAAGTAATGACTTTGATGAGAAACTGGAAAGCATCAGAGACATCTTCATTTTCTTTCATGTTGTTTTTGAATGCAATGAAATCTAGTGAGGATTCCATCTTGGTGTCTTCAGTTCTTAGTAATGTTCATTGAAAATGATCTGCCACAGCCCTACAACTTGGAGCAACTCTACCTTGAATGTGCCCTTTCCCACAAGGTGGCTTAAGTTCAAGTTCAGGTTGGTGAGGGAACTTGGTTGAGCCCACCCAGAGTTCTGGGTGGTCTTTTCCATATAATTGCCAAGGCTTTAGTGTAGAATGGAAAAGTGCCAGTGTTCTGCAGAAAAACTGGGGGTTCTAGAAAAAACAGACAGAAGGATTTCATTTGGGAGGGGTAGTGAAGGAAACCAGAAAACCTCAAAGATTTGTGAAAGACAGATTTGAATCTTCTGAATTGTACTGCACAATAGGCCCTAGCAGAGAGGCCTCAAGCAATGCTTCCTTCTAAGGAAATTTAAATCCTGAAGAAGACAGATTAGGGTCCTGGGCTTTCTGCACACTCAGCTTGGGTAGAAGTGTACTGGTGCCAGGGTCAGTTTCTGAGCTTCCTGACCCATAGGGAGAGGACCGAAAGGCAGAGAGGCTGGCCTGAGCACCTCCACACTGGCCAGCCTTCTGCATTTTTGATCCAGGATTCCCACATGGCCAGTTAACCAGGCTTGGCTTCTCCAGACATTTCCAGGTCCCAGAAAAGGGGAAAGATTCTCTTTTCCACTGGCAATTGAGTCTCGTCTCCTCCTTCAACCTCTCTTTCCCCCTTTTGTGCGTTGCTGTCTCTAATCTCTCTCTCTCTCTCTCTCTCTTTTTCCTTCCTTCAAGTCATGTCTTTGCGCCTGTCTCTTTCTCCACCCTTAAACGGAAATCCAGAGCCGCCTCCGCCCCCCTTTTCGCAGGCAACATCTAGAGGCTCCATTTCCCCTTCGGGTCCGGACGTTGCGTGTCGTGGGCTGCAGTTCGCACGTTTTCTACGTCCAAGTTCGTGTCCCCCGCCCCCTCGCTCCGCCGCACCCCTCTCCTGGCCTCCCTTCTGAGCCGCCGCTAGGCTAGAGGTTCCTAGGGAAGGGGCGTCCCAGGCACGTCTCGGGGCGCCAAGAAAAGCTTATTACAACGCATCCGGGACAGGAGGGGCATCCGGAATGCGCTGGGGTGCTAGTACCTAGTCCCCAAAGCAAAGGGCTGGTCCGGAGTACCGGTTTCCCAGCTTCCTCTTACTCAGGCGCCTTCCCGGGTACTCCTTTGAGGCTGGGAGCGGCCTCCCAGCCCCCCACTCTCCGCCCCCCCTCCCCAGGAGATGGATGGACACTTTATTGGGAGAGCTTTTTATTCTCTCGTTAAACCTGCCAAAGCGCAGGAGACAGAGAGCCAGGGAGAGAGAGGAGGCGACGGAGGTGGGGCCGGGCTCCTCGTCCCCTCTCCCTCTGCAATTTCTGCCGGGAGGATTTTATGAGCCTCTCTCCCCCAGGCCGCAGCCAATCAGCGCGCGAGCCCGGGCCCCTGCGTCTCTTGCGTCAAGACGGCCCGGCGGGGCGAATGCAGGCGCCGTACAAGCTGGGAGCGATTTAAAACGCTTTGGGTTCCCCGGGCCTGGGTGGGGAGAACGAGCTGGGTGTCCCCTCTATCCCCCACCCTCGGTGCCCCATGAGCCGACCCTCGGCCCCATGGAGCCTGGCAATTATGCCACCTTGGACGGGGCCAAGGATATCGAAGGCTTGCTGGGAGCAGGAGGGGGCCGGAATCTAATCGCCCACTCCCCACTGACCAGCCACCCAGCGGCGCCTGCGCTGATGCCCGCTGTCAACTATGCCCCCTTGGATTTGCCAGGCTCTGCAGAGCCACCGAAGCAGTGCCACCCATGTCCTGGGGTGCCCCAGGGGGCATCCCCAGCTCCCGTGCCTTATGGCTACTTTGGAGGCGGGTACTACTCCTGCCGGGTGTCCCGGAGCTCGCTGAAACCCTGTGCCCAGGCGGCCACTTTGGCCGCCTACCCCGCGGAGACTCCTGCAGCTGGGGAGGAGTACCCTAGCCGCCCCGCCGAGTTTGCCTTCTATCCGGGGTACCCCGGACCCTACCAGTCTATGGCCAGTTACCTGGATGTGTCCGTGGTGCAGACCCTGAGCGCCCCTGGAGAGCCTCGCCACGACTCCCTGCTGCCCGTGGACAGTTACCAACCTTGGGCCCTGGCAGGTGGCTGGAACAGCCAGATGTGTTGCCAGGGCGAGCAGAATCCACCGGGTCCCTTCTGGAAGGCGGCATTTGCAGGTAACCTCCACTACCCTGGGTCCCCTTGGCTGTGAGCGTGGGCTACGCTGGCACTTGCCTGGGAGGAGGAGGAGGAGGAAGGAGACTTGGGGCTGGTGAGGAGGAGCTTGGTGCTCCTTGTTTGCCTGTTAGGAGTCTGAAGGAGGGTCCAGGCAGCTGGAGGTCCTGTATGGAGCCCCCCCTTCCGCCCCAGGGCCAGTGTGAGGAGCCTTAGCTGCTATCTGAAGTTGCAATCTGAAGCCTGAGGGTAGTCAACTTCCTTCACTTTCCCAGAAGGCCCCGGATCCAGCCTTTCAATATGTCGGAGAGCTTTGGATCTCTTTGCTGTTGACCAGGGCCAGGGTGTTCCCACTCAGCCAGCGTAATTCCAGTCTAATTCTACACAAGGCTAAATAAAAATTCAGTGAGTGTGCGGGTGGAGTGAGAATGGAGGTGTTGGGTGTTTCCTAGAGAATCTGACCCTTCACTGTCTCTTAGGTAGTTTTCGATTTCCAAAGGAAAATTTAGGTTTTCTGCCTACTAAGAGGTGTGCATTGGGGTGGGTGAGTGTGTGTGTGTGTTGGGAGTAGGGCAGAAACATGTTTCCTCCTGTATAGAATATTCCTGTAGAATCTATAATTGTGGCGGAGAGTCTAAAAATGTGTGTGAGTGGACATACGTGATCATGGGCAAAGGCCTGGCAGTGTGTGGTGGGTGTGTTTGCTGACTCTCAGGTGTGGGAACAGTGATGAGTGAGAGTAGCCCGCAGGATCTGAGGCTGAACGATGATCAGAGCACCAGCCAGAAACTGAAGTGCCCCTGTGCACTTTGGGGAAGCAGGAGCACAGAAGCACGTATGCGCCTGCCCATATGGTAATATGGATTTGCCTGCAGGATGACGTAGGGGCTTGCAGGGCCTGGGTCTGCACTTGGGTTTGCACTAAGTGGGGGTATTTTTTCCTCCCTCCCTTTCCCGCCACACAGACTCCAGCGCGCAGCACCCTCCTGACGGTTGTGCTTTCCGGCGCGGCCGTAAGAAGCGCATTCCATACAGCAAGGGGCAGTTGCGGGAGCTGGAGCGAGAGTATGCAGCTAACAAGTTTATCACCAAGGACAAGAGGCGTAAGATCTCTGCGGCCACGAGCCTTTCAGAGCGCCAGATTACCATCTGGTTTCAGAACCGCCGGGTCAAGGAGAAGAAGGTTCTGGCCAAGGTCAAGACCAGTGCTACACCATAAGAGATCAGCCTGGCTGGGTGGGTGGGTGGGGGTCAGGAAAAGCATGGGTGTCCTGGGGAAATCAGGGGCCTGTCAGGGCCCAGTCTGGCAAGGACTTTACTGGGCACCCAGAGATGACACCCTTGGCAGGCCACTGGCTCCTGGACTGTTCTTCAGAGGTAGCCCGGGGTACCCTGTATGTGCCAGGAGAGTGAGGCGGGGAGTTACAGTCCACTCCACCCGGGGTTCCCGAAGAGCCTGTCCTAGTCATAATCATTCATCCTAACAGTGGAGATGATCACGATAACCAGTACTAGTTGCCATGATAATGAGTTTCGTATTTTCTATTTAGAGTTCTGTAGAGCACTTTAGAAACTGCTTTCCTGAATTGAGATGATTATGAATAAACTTGGAAGGAGATCCTTTTGCAGGGCACCTTTCTCTCAGAACCCCTTCCATTTACACCCACCCCACCCTCCCATTCCAGTGACTACAGGAAAACTGGATCGAGGAGAAAAGGCAGGTTCCATCTGAGAAACTGTATGTCCATGTAACATTTCCTAAGATGACAGCTGGGCAGAAGGACAATGTAATGGGTGTCTCTCCCTCCTCTCAGCCCACTTCCTTCTCCCTTCCCACCCTTCTTCCCTGCCCTCCTCCTAGATTGTACCAACTGCCCCATCCCTTCGATTTTGCAGTTGTGGGAAAATGAAGGCAGTGGGTTGCCCTAGTCTATCCTTTTCCAGAGAAATGGAGTTGAGGAAGTGTCTGGGTAATTTGATGTTCCTCACTTCCTCCCTCGAATGCTCCAAGTCCTCCCCTTATGTTCATCATGGTTCTGACCAAAGCAGGTCATGGTTTCTGGGCCATTTAGCAGCAGCATGAAATAGGAATTTGTGGCCTTATAGACAGATCTCCTCCCAAGCACAAACTGGTTACAGAAAGAGAGTAGTGCCCTATGCTCAGGCCCATCGCAGACATCTGGAGGTGCCTGATAGGAGATAAAACCAGAGAAAAACCCTCTTACCTTCCATTTTCTCTTGTTTGGCTTTCTGAGACACCAAAGGAACTTTCTGGCCTCAGGACTAGAAGATGTGGCAGGCCCTTTTGTGGTTAAAAGAACAACAGTGGCCTGAAGAGGCACAAGAACCCAGGCTCAGGGTGGAGGAACTCCAGGCAGCAGTGTCATGGTGGCCTCAGACTTCCTTACCTTTTCATTGGCTCATTCCAGTCCTGAATCCCAGGTGGGTGGAGGGCGGAGTGGAGCCCACTGTTTTCTAGGTCCAAGTAGACCCTAGTGTGAAATTCTGGAAACCCGGGAGAGCGTTGTTTGCAGAGCCAGCACCCTGAAAGGGACGGGATCTCTGCCTCTACGCTGGTTCTCTGATGTCTTGTACACCTGGGCTCAAGTGCCAGGTGCCAGTGGTATTTGCTGGGCCTTGCTGCAGCTTGGGCTGGGTGGGAGTCCCTGCGATGGAGCACCAGGCCTGACTACAGGGGAGCCAGCTGGACACAAATTCCTAGCCATGGGAGGCGGGCAGTGGGCAACTGGTGGGGGACAGTGGCACTCATGATTCTCCAAGAAACTCCAGGGCAGCCGCTGCAGCCAAGGGATTTGAGTGTGTCAGCCCTCCATAGGATGGGATCCCAGCCCTGGCTTCTCTTCCAGGAAGGAGGAGGGAAGCAGCCCAGATTCTTCTAAATCTATTTTACCAAAAAGGAGCCCGACAGAGAGAAAAAGCAGGAGGCGGGTTGTCAGCCTCCCTTCCTGGGTGCCCGCGGAGTGGGTGGGTAGGAGGAGGATGCGGAGGTCCATTTCCTGGTTGAAAAAATCTCTTCCAAGCTGTGCCAGTGGTTCATGCCTTAATCTTATCTTGGGAGGCTGAGATGGGGAGGATTGAGGTTCAAGGCCAGCCCAGGGAAATAGGGAGACCACTTCCATCTCCAAAATAACCAGAGCAAAACGGACTGGAGGTGTGGCTTCTTGCAAGCAAGAAGCCCTGAGTTCAAACCCCCTAGTCCCACCAAAAAAAAAAAAAAATCCTTCCAAGTTTAGTTGTCTAGCCTAAACTCCAGGATTATGCATCTCGCTCAGAGGAGGACGTCCTCTGCCTTCCGCGCTTCGAGAGAAGCTACACAAGCTTTGCATACAGCAGGTTCTTACTATTTTGTCGTTATAAACAAATCTGACCAAACCCCTCCCTGACTGATTTTAGAGGTGGCGAGACTTCAGCGCAGATGGGCAGGTAGGAAAGGTGGAGACAAATGAGGGGTGCGGAGTTCCCATGCGTGGGGAAGGGGAAAAGTCACACACTATGGACTAAAACCTCAGTTAACTGAGATGGCCCGTAGAAGCCTGCAGACTCCCAGGACTCTGACTCTTCCATTCTGCTCTCAGAGACTTAAGTTTTCGAGGTTCCTTTATTTTTAGCTTGCATTAATTTCAGAGCAGACAAAAGATTTGGGGTTTTAAGGGATTTATTCCGCTAACAGTGTTTGGATTATTAAGAAGACAAGGGCGCCCCCTTCTGGCAGATGCTCGCCACTTCAGAGAAACACGCCGGCTGGGCTTTCATCGCAGCTTCGAGCTTCCAGCCGCCGGGGGCCTGGGGCCTCTGGGGTTAGAGGTGTTGTGGGCTGCGTGTGAGAGCACCGCGACCCGGAGTCGCTGGGAATTCGGACAGGGCATCGGCAGATGTGTCGGTCCAGACTTCGAGAGACCCAGGACGGCAGGAGCGATCTCGAATAAAGAACAGGGCAGTCAGCAGAGCAAGGCCGCGGCGCCATTCCGTCTTCGTTCCGCGGGAGTTACACATCCATCTTCACCGCAACATTTCGCGGTGGACTCCCTCCCCTCCCAACTTTTCTTAGTTGTATGGAGCCTGTGCAAAAAATATTTAATTTCGTTTTGTATTAAACCCTTTTTTTGGAATCCTTTTCTAAACACCCATTTTACTCCCCAAGTGTCCACTACCGACCGATCACATTGAAATCTCTAATTTATTTGTGTCTAAATTACAACAAAATCCACATTGACTCGCTTCCGCTATTTCCTTTTTAACAGGGCTATTTTGAACTACAGGAGAATGTTTTTCCTTAAATTATTTAGACTAACTGAACACAACGTTCACAAATTGGTAACCTCAGAAATCATTCTTAGGACAAATAAATGCAGAGGCACACACATATACTCCAGAAAATAAGCGTGGAGCCTTTTCCCCAAGAAGTCGTAATTTGACTCTGAGCTGCCTTCCATACTCTTCCTCTCCCTCCAAGCCTAACAAACTCCTCCCAAGGAAAATTTAAGCAGGCCAGGAAAGGATCGGAAGATCACGTCTACACTGGCTCCAGGACCAAAATCCCTTCTAACTGCAAAGTAGGTGGATTTTATTAGACCCCGAAGGCTGAATAAGGGGGTAGTGGAGACGTGCGCAGACCCGACCTCCAGAAGCCCTTTTTACATCTAGATTCCATCCACTAATCTACCCCGAGGCTCCCTGGTTCGGGCCTTTTTACTCCTGCTGGCAAACACTGCCAGCCGCCCAGGGTCCATCGAGGCCCGAGCGGAACCAGAATCTGCCCCTCCTCACCTCCACCCTCTACCCCTACTCCGAGTTGTTCCCGGGCAGAAAGCTGTCTGCGAATCAGTCCCCAGTTCTCAGGAGTGTGACCGGCTCCCCTCCCCCAGTCCAGAGCAAATTTCCCCTCCCCGCTTCAGCTCTCCCCTCCCCTTCATTAAAGATTTATTCAAGGTCTTAGTGCTGCACTTTAATGAGATTTCCTTCGGGGAGAACTCCGCTCCGCACCCCCACGTCCTGTCTAATAGAAACCCCAGAGCTGCAATTCCGAAATTAAGAAATGAACTTATTACGGTAAACTTGTAAGGCCCGGAGGCGACTGCTTTATGAAAGGGGGGTGATTTTGTCGTTCTAAAAAAATATATATTTTTTTACCATATTCTTACTCACCCGAACAATCGCTCTCCCGGCAAGAAAAGGGGAGAAAGCACTGGAATGGCCCTCGGCCTCCTGTCCTAGAGTGGGCCATCCCTCCCCTCCCCCAGGCGCTGACCTGGGCTGGAGAGACCTTTAAAACATCCACCGGGGAACCGATGCCAGCCTTTCTTTTCTCCGCTACCAGTATTTTTTTTTTTTTGGCGGTGGGGTGGGGGGCAGAGAGGTGCAGAGTCGTCGGAGACGTGAAAGAATGCCATCATTACCCGTTCCCCTCCCCTGAATTGCCTCTAAAATGGAAGGTGGACAGGAGGTAGCAAAAGAATTCAATCGCCCCCAGAATGATGGGGAGGAAAAGGCAGCAACTGCTGGCGCCCAGTCCTGGGGGGAGGGTCAGGAACTTCGCCATTGAACTTGAAGATCCAGGCTGGTGGTCTCCACTATCCCCGCCCCCACCCTCCTAAATGCTTTATGGGGAGAACGAAGTAGGTGAGGGGACAAGGGGATCTTTCGGACCTCGGAAAGGAGGAAGGAGGCCTAGTGGCGGGGGAAGGGCCAGAGCTACCAGAGACCCGCTGGGAGACGTGGCCACTGAGGAGGACGGCGGGGAGGCGCGGAGGCCCGGGGCTGCGCAGAGGACATCCAGGCTTTGCCTAGATTTGCAGCTAAGAGGTGGGGAGCCGCGGGCTGTGCCGGGTTGAGCCCCGCCCCACACTCTGCAAAGAGGGGGGATCTCGTGCTGCGCTCAGGTCGTTGGTCTCCTAGCCTAAGGTGAGCGAGCGGAGCCCTTAGCGTCCCGGAGATCGAAATCCTCAGGCGGATGCCTGCGGAGCTCAGGGCCGAGAGGCAACTGGATTCCGGTCTCGACCTTTGCAGAGCGAGCAGAAGTAAGTTATGCGCGCATTTCTCAAACCTAGGACCCGGCCATTTTACTACCTCCAAGAGTGCGTTTCTCTCCAACAAGGTAAACTAGCTGATCTCGGGGAGAAGGGCGTTTCCGATGTCTTGGGAGGCTCTGGCTGGAAGTTTTCCCCAAATTTGGGGGCATTCAGTGTCAGCAGGTAAGGGGAAGGGCCTGTGCGGCAGGCTCTCCCAGAGACCACTTGGCAGGGGCATCTCTGGCTGGGTTTTGAAAAGACGGACAGGACTGGAGCAGAAAAGGACAAAGAAAATGCTTCGTAGCATGCGGGACATTCTTGGTCCTGGCGGGGGAGAGGCTGTAAGGCCCTTCATACGGCTTTGTGTTTGTCTCTGGTTGAGTGGAGTCTTAGGGTGGAAAAAACTAACATTGGTAGTATCATTTTCATTTAAAATGATACTATTTTACAACACACATTGTTTTGAAAACTGTCAAAAGTTAGCGATGATGATAATGATTCACTAACTCAACCTAAAGAGAAATGCTTTGATGGTTAAAAAACAAAAACAGTGCTCTCTATCCCTAGGCCCCTGCCTTTCTTCCTCCTAATCCCGTTCCCCC